TATTACCCCAGGTGCCTGGGATTTTCTAGATACTTCCAAATCATGTGGGTAGTGCTTTCAGGACCATAGTTTTGGATATATAAGTACCTGGCTTATGGGCAGAGATGTGTATTAGGCTCCTGATTCCTCTTTTCAATGTGGTCCAGAGAAGTTGTTGCTGGATACAAACTGATAGAAAAGGTGAAGATAATAGTGTCACAGCAGTCAGCATTACTGTCTCACAGTAGGTAGGAATGGGAAGAAGAGCAGGAATATTTTTCTTCTGGAATTTGATGTACTCTATGCAGTCTCTCCCTCTACTAACCATTCTTTCCCAGCCCATCATAGTAGAATAACCACTACTATAAGCTCTGTCCATGAGATTGGTGATTTTTTGTGTGCATGTTCCTGTATGTAACCCAGATGTGTTTGATGTTGTGTTGGAAAGTTGAACAGTAGACAAAATTGTCAGAAAGGAAAAAGACTCCATAGCTCATGTGACCACACACCAAGCCACTGTGGGACTGAGCCCAAGCCTGAATGACAGACACACCAAATTTTGGCTAAGCCTGCACTCTAGATACAGGTATTGGCAATAATGACACTTATCAACTGAGATACAATTTAATTTCCACTTAGGGGCATCTGGTGGCATTTGAATGGAATTTAAACAGCCCCAGGTGCATATAGGTCCAAAGCAATTCCAAAGTCCTCAAATAATTAGATACCATCAGTGAAAACTGGATCCATGTTGCCTTCTTTTACAATGTCTGTGTACACTGTAATTGTAAGGAGCAATGTCCTAAAGCATTCAACCTCCTCATCCTCAAGGCTTCACTCTGCTACAGGGTTTCCTGGTATGATTTGCTTGGGTGGAGGTGGTAAACAGAATTGTTCTTAAGTTCACGAAGTGCACCAATAGTCTTGGGATATTTCTACAGTACTGGGGTTTCTGATTTTGTTTAGATAGCCCTCATTGTTGCTGGTCTGCTTGTTTGCTTCACAGTGCTTTCAAAATATTGACAGTGAGGACTGGTTTAATTTGCACATTTTGCCAACCTCTGTGAAAGGCTTTGGGTGGAAAAATGCTGAGGGCCTATTTTAGAGAAAAAGACATTAATTTGATACTCTCAGATAAACATTTTAAGATTTCATTCAACAAGTACATTTTTAAACTCCTTTGGAAGGGTATCAAAAATCCAAGAAAAACTATCAACCAAAGAGAATCCCTCCTGACAACTCTGAGATGTCACTGCAGGTACAACATACATATTCAGCCTAAAATGAATGCTGACCAGTTTTGCATTTCAGTAAGTAACAATGAAAAATATGTGAGCTGTTGGAGGCTGAAAGAATATTTCCTCTTAATTATTTTGCGTTGACTCCTAAATATTAGGTCTTTGAATAAGCCTGATTCTGTAGGCAAATGAAAATAGGGAGGGGGTGAGAAAAAATTAAGAGAACAGAGGTGACAAATAATTTTCCTTTTTCTCCTGCATTTTAATTTACTTAGGATCTTTGTTCCCAGACTAGCAGCCGTAGTGGAGACTTCAGTAAGATAAGAATACACAAAGACTTTACAGTGGTGAGGCTGGCTTGATAGCTTGTGATGACATGAAAAGTCAAATTCAGCTAAAGCTTTGACTACAGATAACCTCACTTAGCATTGTTATCTTAATGAAAAGAAAATAGAAAAGTCTTCCACCATACATCCAAAGTTACCTAGGACCTACAAAGAAAATGGCCTCTCACAGAAAAAGCTTTTTAACCAATCCCAAACATCCTCTCACAAAACAATTAATCTAAAATATTTTTTAGAATACTGTCACCAGTGTTCACCATTTTTAAAGCCAGCTTCTGGAAATAATATGCATACAAACATACTTAGCGTTTAACATCGCTGATTTAATCCATGCTGAGTGTAATTTGTCTATAACCACATATGAAAACAGCCGCCCTATTGCATTAGAAATCATGAGATTGCATTCACAGCAGAAGCACCTTCAAAATTATACCTGTTATTTTAAAATAACTTAGCTAGAATTTAAGTAAATTATCACTATCCATGCATGGCAATTCTTTCTAATATTAAAAATATTAGTTAAAAGAAGTGTGTACATCACCACAAATACAAACTTCTCTGAGGTACAAAAACACTGTCTCAGTTGGCCTTTCTGTCTTTTTTTTTTTGGTTTTGTGTGTAAATGTATACTGAAAATTATTCTTAAACAAACATTTTAAACCTAAATTGCATGATCAAGAGACAGATACTTTGTTTGTTCTATTTATGGTTCTTGCTTAATAGAATTTGTTGAGGGCCTTTTTCTAAACTTTCTTAATACCAGATCTTGTGCAACCCTTTTCCAAAGGAGGATCCAAACAGTTATGAGACATCAAGATGAGTTGCAGCTCTTTCTTTTTTCTCCAGCAGAGATAATAGATTGATTTCTGGATAATTTTCTGCCCCTCCTCTCTCAAATGCAAGTAGTCCTGCATGAGAGACAAATCTGCCCTTTTGAACAGCTTGCAGGATCAAGATTTGTGCATCCTCTTATCTGACTAGCAAGGATGGGAAAACCTGCAGCTCCAGTTTCAGCTTCACATGAAGTTACTAGTCAGCTTAGTGAAAATACTTCAACAAGCCTTCCAGAGAGAAAATGGTGCTACTGTTTCTTGTACTTGAGGAAGAAACTAAAGAAACACCTTGCACAGTTGAAATTATGCCATACATCATAAAGAACCAGTATATACACTTTTTTTTTTTGTTGCTCTGTCCTGCAACTTAAGGAACAGTCAGATACATCCTGGAATACTGAAATGCTTCCACTTGAGCAGGGCAAAACATAACAAACAAACAAACAAAAAAAAAAATCAAAAAACCCAAAAACCCAAAAAAACCCCCAAAAAACCTAACCAAAACAAAGCAAAACAAAAAACAAATCCCAGACCTCTTGTTAGTTGTATTACATACATTAAGCTCTTTCACAAATGAAATTGTGCTGTAATCAAGTCCATTTTTGAAAAGGGTAAAAAATTAGTATACCAAAGGGGAAAAATAATGACTCTAAATGGGGCAAAATAGCAGATCTATTGGAAACATGACAAAAAGAGGATGTTAAGGAAAAAAATTAAGTGGAGTCAACAAGGTTACACATAAGTAACACCTTAACATTAAACGAAATCTATTTTCCATTTTGACCTGGAAACCCCTTCCATTAATTACTAAAATCTATTTACACAGCAACTAGATAAAATCAATCTGATTGCTCACACCATTTTTGGCTCACTTTCTGTGGGCTCTGAGCATTCAACAGACTGGCTCAAGAGAAGTCGATATTTAGATGTTCTGAGTCTCCACGATATCCCAGCCATGATTCCTGCCATGCAAATTCTTCTTCTGGATATGCAGCATTTTGTTCCTGGCTCTGCCCCCTTGCCCCCAGCAAAGACATGTATGGAGGCTGTGCTTCCTTCCAGCCTTATATGGAGGCAAAGTGAGCTCACCAGTATCTCTGTTGGGCTGTTATGAGGGGTTCTGACAGGCCCCACGGCTGAGCACCCTTACATTAACCAGATCAAAAGCACTGTCTGGCAAAAGTAGAAAAAAAAGTCAAACAGAGAAAAGTAGAAAGAGAACAGACATTACTCGGAGAACTGGGAGAGACACAAACCTTCTTCTACACTTATTCCCCTTCCTCCTAGGAACATCCAGGAAGCTTCCAAAAGAAGTGATATCGATACATTAGGTGGAATTGCTCCAGTGACCACATATATATACTCTGAACCTGTCAGTTCAGCCAAGACAAAGACACAAATATGGGATAGATTTCTTCTGCTTTGGAGAGCACTTCCTCTTTAGTAGGCAGTCTTCCACAACAGAAGATAAAATATCAGGATCAGCTGTACTATTGCTGGAAATGAACACTGCTGGAAGATTTCTGAGACAGGTATGTGCTTAGCTTTAATATCAGTAATTGAAAACTTCAGAAATTAACAAAGTCTGTTTAATGTAAAATCATCTTTATTAGGTGACTTTTTTTTCGTATACTTTGGACAGCTGAACATTTTCAATTTATTACTATGATCTTTCAAAACTTATGCCAGAGAGTTACATTTTCTATTCAGTGATTCTGAGACTAAAAGAAGGTACATATTCCCCCCATATATAACTAGAGCCAAATTAGCTTTTAAGTGAAACTCCATCTACCTCAGCATATAGACGTCTAAGAATCATATTAATGTTCTTACAGCATGGGCTGTCTCAGTCTTGATCATGTTTTCAGCTGTGGTTCTCTGGCAGCAGCTTGCCACTAATTAAAATAATCAAGGTATCATTAGAGATAAGAAAATTGTGCAAGGCTTTCAAGAAACTCAAAGAAAATCAAACCCACATAAATTCTGATTTTAACAGCATCACTAGCTGTTTTACCTCATGGTCTGACCTTGGCTTTCAAGGGATCACCTGCTGAGTGCTGTTGATGCTAGTGAGCAGCAGCAATGCGTTTCCCTCTCTAGTCTCAGCTGGCAAAAGCTGCTGGCTTCAAGTACTTACTTGAAGGGCTTTTCCCCCGTGTGTGTCCGGATGTGGTTGTTGAGCGTCGTGGCTCCGGCGAAGGCGCGCCCGCAGTAGCCGCACTTGAAGGGCCTGTCGCTGGAGTGCGTCACCACGTGGTTCCTCAGCTCCGAGGGCTGCGAGAAGGACTGCGAGCAGTGACCACACTGGTAGGGCCTGCAGTGGGAAGGGAAACAGCAACATCAGTGCTTTCTGTTGGCACGAGCAGGAAACCACTTGGGAGGGGGCCCCTGATCTTCCCAATGATTTCCAAACAGAACTGTGGGCGCACTTCTGGGTCTTTCTTGGGAAGCACAAACCCAAAACTTCACAACCTCTTTAACAAATGTGAAATTCTTGGGCAGGAATTAAAAGAGAGTCTATGGGACCCAAAAACCATAAATCAGCAAACTAGTGAGCCTGCACTACACATCTGTTTGACTTAGTTCTCTCAAACTCGACAGTACTCCTGAGTCAAAACAAAAAAAGATCTGCACACATTGGAGCTGAGGGACTCATGTAATCCTCTGTCCGCTGGTGTGAGCTACAGTCTTACTTGCAAATGCATATCTGATGGTTATGTGCACATCCTGTCATTATTCTGTAGTTATTCACGATTAAACTCCTCATATTGCTTTGGATGGTTTTAGAGATCACTTATTTTAATATGAGACTTGGAAAAAATGACTACTGTAATACAATTATCTTTCTGTTTTCTTATTTCAGTTGACAATCGTTACATTTCATTAACATTTTTTCTCCCATCTAGATTGAAAATGTCTGTTTTGGTGATCTTGAAAGGAAACCCAGAACTCAGGTTTTCAACAACACATCGTGTTAAAAATAAACATAACAAACAAACATACAAAACTGTCTGATATGTTACAAATTTAGAACCATAACAAACAGACTGCAAACACAGAAAAAAAAGGATACACAACAGCAATGTGAGACTGGTCTTCTGAAATGCTAACTAAAATAAAATGCCAAGAAACCACGTCTATATATTTCTCTTCAATAAAAGTGGCTTTATATCAAGACCTTACTAGGGTTTTTTTTTCCATTTCACATTTGTTTTAAGTTAGTAGCAGAGTCCTAAATGCTTATCAGACTGCTTGCTAAGAAAATTAAGATCTTTTTTCTGGAGGGATAATAATGATTTTTACCCTACACAGCATTTTAACTCTTGGTGTCTGCGTTTCAAGAGCCAATGGCCAACACAACTTAATTGCTTGCTCCGTAAAAAATGTATACGTTTAAATGGCTAGAAACCAAAACTAAAGGGATAGAGACAATGGTGACCAGGCATGTACAATTCAATTAAGTGCAAAATAAAGTGAACTATCTCATTTGTCAAGCGAACTGCTTAATTGTGGCTACTTGCATCACTGAACACAAATACTATTATTTTACAGTGCTTCAGAGCACTGAACCCTGATTGTAGAATTTTTTAGCTTGATTAATAGCTCAGTATTCATCAATAACTCAATAGCTTACAATTTTAATTACTTGCATTTGAAAATCTAACTACTCTCTAACAAGTTTGAAAATAAGATATGAAAGCTGTGGCCCTTAAAGATACACAGAAATATGTAAAATAATATTTTAAAAAAGCAAAAACCAAGAAAGTGTTTTTCTGTTTCTCTTACTGAAAGACAAATAGTAACATGTCCAGTTTTACCTTTCTTGGAGTCCAAAGTAAATTTGCACAGAAAATATTTATCAAATTTGGTATGAAATTTCAAGAGTTGATAGGCATAATTGGTGAATGTAGTAATCAAGCACTTTTAAGCAAAATAAAGCAATAATATAATCTGTATCCAAGAAACATTGATTTTTTTAATAGTGAAGGAGACCATTAACATCTATTAGCCTCTGGTTATCTATTTTTAACAGCAACCACAAAAAATGATGCAATGCCACACAAAGAAAATTAATCTTTTTATTTTTTAAAGCAATAAATAAATCAATGTTATTAACTTAATGCAGTGAAAATTCACACTGTAACTTGTCTGCAAAGAGTCAAAATTTCAAACCAGATATAGGTGAACATTGTGATGCCAAACAATATGGTTTCATTGGCTCAAAATAAATGTCTTCTTTACAAAATACTCAGAATATATTTCATTGGCTTACACTCAAGCAAATCATCCCTGCAAAAGATCACCAACTGTTAGATCACTTTGACTCCATTTTTCTGATTGATCCACACCTTGAGAGAAAAACTGTTAAAGAAGTTACCCTTCTCTTTGCAGAGGATGAATTTATGCAGTTTATATCCAAGTAATTCTAATTAATGCTAAAATGCCTAATTTTTTTAAAGCTTAGATAAATGGCATACATTAGGCAAAATTAAATTTAAAAAGAGAGCCTAAAAATGCATCAAAATACTGTAACATCTTAAAAATGCTCTAATTTGCACAATTGCAGATTTAAATATTCCAACTTCTGACAACTTTTGGACACTACTATTTTTCAAAGAGAAAAAAAATAATTACATTCAATAAGTACAGAAGTTATCATTCTGTTCTCTGGTAACAATTTTCCTGTGCTCGGAATTTTTTTTTTCTGAGAAGAAAATAAAATCAATATGTTATTTTTCAAAAAAATGAAAGTGGTGCTGAAGGACTGAGCACAAGCTGTGCTCGGTTCAGTGAGTACATTGACATGGGCAGAGCATGCCTGCCTTTGATGTAGCAGTTATGTCTTCTGCCATCACTTTTGTCTGCTCTGGGACAATGAATTCAGACGGTGACCTCGCTATAACAGAGTTTTGCAGACAAGGAGGAACAGCAACAAAGGGACAGAAATGTTGGTCTTCATAGGCTGTGCTTTCAAAAATCCACTGCTGGACTGAATGCACTCCCAGCTCAGAAAAACTCATTTCCTTGGAATAACAAATACATGTATTGTACTTTCTTGAGCTTCACAGTATCCATGTGAATCAAAATCTGACAAGATCATAATTTTAAGTTACAGTTAAGAGCAGCTAAACTGGTTTCAGCCATGTGCAGATGAGAATGATGTTTCAACAATCATCAAAAGTAGTTCTAATGTTTTTAATTGAACACCTAGTTACATAGGAGCTTTTCGCTCCACATCTTTCTTTTTTGAGCTTAAAGAAGGGAAATCTACGTACCCAGAAGAAAATTTTCCTGTTGGAAAAATTTTACACTGTTGTATTAATCCCATGCATCATCGATAAGCTATCTAGGTTTACTGATATTCGGAATCCACCAGCTTTTTCTAGAAACCTTAATCCTACAGTCTCTGACTCTATGATGGCCCATATAGGAATACAGGCCATCCAAACTGAAAATCTGAGAGCAATTCTAATGTAATAGTTTTCAGGTTTTGTGGTAATTTATAATTTGAGCTTTTCCAAGTTGTGCAAGACACATTTTCCAAAATGAAAACACTGGAATATATGGAATAAATTTTGCTCTCTAAGCTAGACAATCTCTTGAATGATTTTGCTCTTTGGTGAGGTCTTTTCCTGTCTTAAAATTTCCTAACTTTTGCAGCTGATATTTTTCTGGGTGAAACTATATCATATATGGGATCAGTACAAAAGTCAGGCTTCCCTATAAGGCTTACTGAACCCCACCAAAATGCATGCTTTGGGCAAGGAATGTAGAACCTCTAATATGTACAAAGCAGGTTAAAAGAATAGAAAAATCCATATGCTTTCATCTGAAATAGCTACTGAGTGACAGCTGTACATTTAGGTTAATTCTTTCTAGATTTTTGTATAGCAAACCTGACATAGCTTTATTTGTCTTTTACTATTCCTCTGCCAAAAGAATATATTTTCCAAATTCTAACTCCTAAGGGTATCTAAGTGTTATAAATTTATTTTCTACATCATAAACTATTAACTCTTTGAATTATTAGAACCTTGGAAAATCCAATCATTATTTTCCATTGCATTTTCAAACTATTTCCTTTATGATTAACAGGTTTTTAGTGTGGCCTTGTCAGAAGTGAATTTGCTTTTTTCAAGGGGCATATGGAATTCTGGTGTAATCTTAGAAGAGAAATTTCTTGTAAGGGCAAGTTCCTGAATACTTGTAACTTTGTCATTGAAACTCAGCCCAGTGAGACAAAATAGCACAGCACTGTATTCTTTTCCCTCAGAAAGAGCTGGAAAAGCACCAGCTGAAATGACTGGCATGTGACTGAAAGTGTTTTTCTCCCTGTTGATGACTAAGAAGTAAAAAGCCAACATGATCATAGAGTTATAGAACGGTCTGTGTTGAAAGGGGCCTTAAGGATCATCTTGTTTCCAACCCCTTGCTATGGGCAAGGATATGGTGAAATATGGGTCCCCTCAAGCCAGGTCTCATAAGCTCTTGGAGATCTATTTCACACCCAAGATGGCTCAGCTACCTTAGAAGGCATAAAATCAGCAGGATGGCTTCTGTGGTAGTGTTGGAAACAAAAAGGTTTTAATAAAAGGCAAAATAACAAAACTCTTTGCAGAGAAAAACTGAACCAGGTGCAAAAGGTCCTTGCTGCCGGTAAAACACCTCACAAAAGCAGTTAGTTTCTTTGTTCTCTTATTTTTCTAGTAAATTGTGGCTCCTGCCCAATTAGCTATCTTTAAGTTTGAGGTGAAGACCCCCGAGTCCTATGAGATGTCTTTTCACCTAATTGAGGAGAGAAACTTCTGGGCTTATTTCCTTTTTAAGGGAACAAAGGATATTTTTGTCACTCCATCAAGAGGGGGCACATTCCTATAGGACATCTTCCACTCAAGACCCCATCCTATTTGGCCTCGATCATTCACAAGACAGGGCATCAACAGCTTCTCTGGGAAAATTTCAAGTCTGTCTCATTACCCTCACACTAAAGAATTTCTTTCTTACATCCCATCAAAATTTACCGTCTTTCAGTTTAAAGCCATTATCCCTTGTTCTATCACTAAATGCCATCACAAAAAGTATCTCTCCAGATTTCTTGTGGGCCCCTATGTGTACTGAAAAGCTCATATAAGGTGTCCCTGTGCCCTTCTTTTCTCTACCCTGAACAGCCCAAACTCTCTCAACCTATCGTGATGCCTCTGATCATCTTTGGGATCATCCTCTGGACTCTCTGTAGGAATGTTGGAATCCCCAGAGCTGGATGCAGTGCTCCAGGTGGGGTTTCACAAGAGTTGAATAGAGGGGGAGAATCAC